TAGTGGCTGCGGGGGTGACACGGTCAGGCCTGTCCACGGGTCTGGAACTGCTCTACTCGAACCCCTGAAGGAGAGGCTGTCACGGACAGGTGGTATCCCTAAGTCGTGCTGTTCCCCTGCACAGCCATTCATGAGAGTCACGTGGATTTGAGCTGGGGTGGGGGTGGGGTAATTACTACCCCGAGAAAGTATTTAAAGATAATTATACACCTCCCACTCTTCAAAATATAGCTTTGCTTGACAACTGGTTTCCTGGCAACGCTTCCTACTGTATAATAAATGCAATGGTTTATTAGAATGTGTGAATTTATTTGTGTTTACATATGCATGGAAGATATAGAAATTAAATGATAAAACAGGGAGGAGAAATGTGCCTGCTGTTTAGTTCCCTTCACACTAACTGGGAAAGTCATTTTCTCTAGAAATAGAACTTTCCCATGTAGACCTAGGAGAGAAGGATAGATATGACTGTGTCTAATCCACTTCTACTCTACTGCTTCCCCTAGGAAATTTCTGCTCACTCACCTCAGATTCTCCTCACCTCTTCCCAATATGGGCCCTGCGCTTGCCTTTCTACATGGACTGTCCCCCCACTGTCAGACCCTCCCCTTCTATGTCCTATCCATCCCAGCTTCTCCCTGGAGTACTTTTCTAGTCTTCGCAGGCTTAGAACTCATTGTCAGCATCATTGTTTAGTTATATATTTAAGAAGTACTCACTGAACTCCTGTGTGGGCCAGGTACTAGATATTCAACAGTTAGCATGACAGACATAGCCTCTGCATAAAACCCACATGGTGCACAGGCCACTCAGCAAGCAATTGCAGAGCATGATCAGTGCCAAGATGGGTCAGCAGAGCACATACACGGGCATCCTAGCCAGTCACAGAGGAGCCAGAAATGGTTCCCAGAGGAAATGCCTTCCCAGTTATCTGGCACTGCACGTATCTCCAATTAGGGGAAGGAACTGTCTTGCACTTTGTTGTAGACTCATAGTACATGCCGTCCATTTCACGAGCTCTTACAGGCTGGAGACAAGCTCCTTGGAGACAGGCTTTGGGCCTCGGGGCTCTTGAGACCCAGGGAAGAGGGAGGGTGTCAGGAGAGGGCCGTGCTCCTGAGAGTTTGCTTGGCACATAATTTTTGACAGTCATCTAGAATATTAAACAACGTCAAAATATTGGACACTTCAGGCTCTTTCTAGTGGCTACAGAATTGAGAACAAGCAACACAGAAAGTCATTAAATTTAATTATTTTATATCTAAGTAACTTAAAAATAGACTATTAGAGATGGGGGCAAATATGGGTGTCTTGTTGCTTATGGGACAGAAGAAGTAAAGGGAACATTGGAGGCACATTTCATTGAACATGGGGCAGATAGTCCTCCAAAATTCTAGAAACTCCATGGGACCCACTTCAGAACTCCATAAAGTGGAGATCTAGAAGCTCTAACAGGTTATCTTATTAATCCCTTCAAGTTGCATAAGACTTTCTGAATCATTTGTTCCATCACTGTTTAAATCCTCTTCTGACCAGGAAGCCCCAAATGTTGCAAAGTTCCTCATTGTAACTAATTCTAATATTATAAGTCATTAATTTGCAGAATTTTTCCTAAAAGCTCTGCTCTAATATTTCTTTTAAATAAACTGTAACTTTGTATATTCAGTTTTGCAAATAGAGTAGGCCAGTTTTTAAGCTCTACTTCCATTATTTGTCATTGCTAAACTGAGTAAATGATCAGGAATGCTTTGATTTTTTTAAAACTCAAATTTTAGAGATTTTTTTTGAGGAAAACAGGCTCTTCACTGTCTACAAGGTTACTTCTGAGTTGCAAAAGTTCTCTCTCCATTTTCCCCCTGTATTTCCTTGCTCTTCTCCTATATTCTTCCATTCAGTCTTGGCTGCCACAATCAGACACCAGAAAGTGCGGACACATTTTTCTTGCGTCTGTAGTGGAAACCTTAGTATACACATGTGCGAACAGCCTACCACTGGGCTGGCACTCAGCTATACTCTCTGGAAGTAATACCTCTGGAGCATGCAGAACCTACTGAAGGCAACAGGCATATACTGGTGTGTAGTATGGTAAGTGCTGTGATAGAGTTATAAGCAAAGCACTATGGGAATGAAGGGAGGTGGATAACTTCCCCTGGGGGGTTTGCAGACATTTTTGCAGTTTGTGACATTTAAGGCTCTTAACAAAAGTCTGAGTTCTCCAAATGAAGACATGGGGACACAGTGAATCAGGTAGAAGAGAGGCTCCAGGCAAAGGCCCTGAGGTACGAGAGGACAGGGAACATTCCAGTAAATGCAAGTTCTATGGGTTGGAACAAAGGGTATGTGCAGGGGAGTGAGGAAGGTGAGACTGGAAAGGCAGAGGGGGCTGAAGACCTTAGCCCCTGTGGAAAGTTCAGAGCCCAGCCGCGTGGTGATCCTGTGTGCTTCCCAAACCCTTCCGCTCATATCTCACTGTGGCCCATGGACATGAAGCATCAGAGCAGCAGCAAACAACCACGTGGCAGTGATTTTAACTGGACTTCATCTTATAAGGGAGGGGCACACTAGGCCTCACAGCCGCCTTGGGATGGTGCTGCCCAAAAAACTGATGGATAAAGATAATTCAACACGTATCAACCCCTGGATTATTTGCTTGCTATAACCCCCAAACCTCTTCTTTCTAGCCATACAAAAGAGGGCAGTTCCCCCTCACTCTTCCGCCCTCCTGGAAGGGCACTGGATGGAGCTGGTGGGCAGAGGGAAGGAAGAGCAGCATGTCCTGCACTTACCTGAACTTTGACTTGGAGATCCGGTGGCTGAAAGAGAAAAGGGGGACGTTAGCAGGTGACACATGTTCCCTTCCATTTCAAAGGTGTTCAGCCATGCCAGGGAAGTCGATGTCCCCTGCTGACTATTTGTGGGCAACTGATGGATGTGTGATGTGACTTAGAACAACTCTGAAGAGAGAACCTATTTGTCAGCATCTTCTGGTGTGCTTGTGTGTTTGAATGTGGAGACTGAAGCCTGTCCCACTGACAAGTCTACAAATCCAGTGTCTTCTGAGTGGAGCAGGAGAGCCCGTGCTCTCAGATAACCAGCATCTATGATGAGGTTCCGTGAGGTCAGGTTAGGCAGCGTGTTAGGAAGCTGCACCTTGAGAAGTGCCATAGAGGACAGGGAGGCACCTTGGGAAGAGCCATACAGGACAGGGAGGCGCCTTGGGAAGGGCTGTACAGGACAGGGAGGCACCTTGGGAAGGGCTGTAAAGGACAGGGAAGTCTCTCCAGCAGGTGGGGGATCTCACCAGCCAGAGACCGTGGCAGAAACACATTGGGGAGAGCCCACTGCCCTCTGAACAGGAGCCTGGCCAATGCTGGCTATGAAGTGAAGATGAGCACAAGAGCCAGCTGGGCACTGAAAGGCACTACAGTCCTGGTGAGGGCAGCAACCTGGGCCTGAAGGAAGCCATGGGTCCTGAGGAGAAAGCCAGCATTCTGGCAGCCAGGTGTAGCCCGGAAGCCCTGGGGGACTCTGGGCAGGAGCACCGGGCAGGTGTGCTGCTGGCTGATTCGAAGGGTCACTGTATGGGGCGGGTCCATTGAAAGGTGAACCTTCAAGGAGGCCCTGAGACCACCTAGTTCACATAGCAGAGTCCAGTGGAGCTGGACGGAGGCAGGATGGGAGAAAAGAGAGGAAGGAAGGGAGATAAATATATGGAGAGAGAGAGAGAGAGAGAACTTGAGACAGAAACTTGAAGGCAAGGGTCAGAAAGGCTTGGTGTCAGGGAGTAAACACTGGAGAGCTTGCAGATAGATGCACAGAGATGCGCAAAATCCAAGTTAGAGGTGGCAAAATGGATGGAGTGAACAGTAGAGACAAAGAGATGCTAAGAGAAAACAGGAGCAGGGACTTGCAAGGAGACTGCTGCAAGCCTGTGTCATCCAGCTCAGCACAAAGCAAGCTCTGTTGCATCGCAAGAAAACAACCCCTCTCATTGTTTTTTATTTAAAAAAAAATTAAACCAGAAGATGTGGCAGGTGGCAAAGCCATCGAGCATGAGATAATTATATCTCTGGGGCACTGAGAATCTGAGCCAAGTGCCTTTACTGCTCTGAACCGTTAGCTAATAACCTTTTCCCGCCTCCAAAGACTGCCTGCCAGAGCTGGAGGGTTTAATCACATGTTAACAAAGTGTGTGGGAGGGGGAGAGGGAGCCGGGCAGCATTTTATTTAGAGTCACAGTTTAATGGGGAAACAAATGTTTTCCAGGTGCTAATTGGGTGGCAGGGAGTCCAGGGTGCTCTGTTCTCCAGCAGGGCTGGGCTGAGCATGGCACCTTCTGGCAGTTCTCACTCTTGCAGAAGCCAACGCAGATGACCATGATCTCCGAGGCTTTGTCCATAGAGCTTGGCCAGCCCTCAGTATTCTTTCTGAAACCTCTCCATGACTCTCTCTGCAGTGCCCGTCAGTGCAGACCACAGCCCCTTCCCCACAAGGCTCCCTCTTGCAGTCCAAGGGAGTCAGAAGAAAATTGGGTTCTTAAATCCATCATATATGGAAACCGAAATCTGAATGTTCACATCTTCTAAAGAAGTGACTCTGGGAATTGGACACAGGGAAGGATTGGTGCTGGGTGACTTTGAAATGAGGGCCAGGCCTGAGTTTAGGCATGGTCATCAGCTATGGGTCCACAAATGGCATTCTGGCACATTCTGAGGAGGAGGAAAGGGAGCAGAACTTTCTTTTCCACTTAGTTGCATGTTCTGACGTATAACCCTGGACCACACTTTGAGACTGATTTTCATGTTGTTGCTGTTTCAAGGGATTGTGAGCTTAATTTCAGGCTTTCTGAATCTAGAACATTCATCCCCTTCTAAGCACCATATTACTTAAGTGTTTGTACTTGGGAAGGGGAGAGTGTTGTTCAAGAGGCATTTGTCTGAGACCCAGGAAACCCAGCACTTGGAGAGCTGAGGTTAGAAGTCTTGTAAGGCCCAAGTGCATTGATGCCTCCATTCTCCCTGACAGATGTGAGAGGACAGTGGGACCCGCTCCACAAAAACAGAGGGACCCCATCGCTCTGCAGCCTTTTACCTCCTGGGAGGTAACAACTGGCTTAGGGTTTGGAAAGCTGCTCGCACTGGTCCCCTGTGTGAGTAAGCCAGGTGGGGACTAGGTGGGTGCACCGTTCCATATCCTGGGCTGTTTCACGTGTGGCAAATGCTTCCTTCTACTGAACAGTAAGAGCCTCCAGTTTCTCCAAACCCCAATGAGGCGCACACAGCTTGTTCAGAAGGCTTGATGGCTTTTTCCATCATTCTATTCTATTCTATTCTATTCTATTCTATTCTATTCTATTCTATTCTATTCTATAAACCTAGGAAACTATGATTTTCTTTTATATTGAAGTTCAAAACTAGAGAAAACCCTAAAACTCTTTTTGTTTTGCTTCATTACTCAATTTGCATTTGTCATTATTTGACAAATATCTGAACTTCTTGGGAGCCATTTATATTTTCAGCTTCTCTCCCCTTCTTAGAGTAATGAGCACCATATGTTTACTCCCTGTTGTGTGAAGTAGCATTTGCCAGAATTGTCCCAATTTGCCTTTAACATAAATCAGAGGGCACTGGAGTCACCACCCAGGCTGACACACATCTGACTGCCTCCTCATCTCTATCGCTGCAACACCTCCCATGGCTGTTAGTACTGGAGCTACTAGGTACTGAAAGCAGTTGCTCCCCACCCCTGGCCAGAGTCTCCTTCTCTATTACCCATTTTGCTCCTTCACTGAACCCAATTTCCCTCACTGGATCTTCCCAACCACTCACTCTTCCAAGGCTCCCAGGCCAATGCACACGTCACCTCCAATTCTCAGCTTGGCCCCATGGTCATGTCAGGATTGCCCTCCACACCACACAGACTCCCCACTGCCTGGGCCTTCTGCTGGGTCTCCTTGGCAAACCCCATCCTGGTTCACACCACTGTCATGTTTTTAGTGCTGCCCTCAGGCCAAAGAGCCTACCAAAAACCATGTCACATAGTTCTGTAGGCCAATTGCACATTTACAATGTCAGTCTCCAGTCTCCACTGTGGATTTGGATTCGCACTGCTCAGCAAGCTGTTTGCGATGTCCTGGTGACTCACTAATTTGAATCTCCTGTCCTGCAGGTCCCTAGGACACCTAACCCCCCTCTGGGAGGAGCTGACAGATCATTTGCTATGACTCCTATCATATCTTCAGCAGAGCCTGTTTCTGATTCTATATTCTTTATAGAACTGTTGGCTTTGAGAGCTGGATCTATGGTCCACAAATATCAAGTTACAGGGTGTTTTATTCCAGAAATCTTATATGGAAGCCCAATGTGTGAAAGAGGTGAAAGTGGTCTCCTGTCCCAACCCTGTAGCGGTTCCCAGGATCCCTGGCCTCTGCTGAGAGCAGCTGAGGTACCACCAGGCCAGCCCTTCCTTCCCTAGAGGAGGAGACCGAGACTCAGAGCAGAAGTGCCGGCTGAGGTCCAGGGCGGATCAGTGCTGGACTGCAGGGCTCCTGACTAAAGGTCTCTTCTCCCATCTCCTGGCGAGCCTTAGAGGTAAAGGAGCTCCTTCTTCCTGTGTGAATCCAGTGTCTCAAACTGTCTTTGAAGTCCACTCCCTCTTCTTAAGTAGTTCCTTCGTAGGCACTCCCATTTAGATCCCAGAGCCTTTAGCCCCTCCATTTTCATGAACTTTTTTTGCTTTAAAGATCATCTCCTTACTATGATGAAACAAGCCCCCTCTTTCTAGGATCCTACTCTCCTCTCCTTTCCATGGCCCCACTGGTGGAGTCAGCTCCTTGTGCTGGCTCATTTCCACCCCCTTTCCACTCTGAGACTCAGCTCCCACTGCACAGAGCACAGAGTCCTCCACTCCTTTCCATCCTTTCCATCCCCACACGTGACTCTAGCCTGCACCTCCATCATCTCACCTGTGGGTAACTGCCAGGGAGGCCTCCGCACACGTGTGCTGCTTCCCCATTGGCCCCACCCCTAAACTTTCTTTTCTAAAGTGGTCTGTCAACAATGCAAAACTAACCAAATCAACCAGCTCCTCATCCCATGACTTCTCACAGTCTTGTGACAAAGACCAAGGCCATCAAGGCATCTCCCAGGCCCTGCCCCATCTCCAGCCTCGTCTCTGTCTTCACTCGGGCTGCACTGTCCAAGCTGGCCTTCTCTCAGTTCTCCCACTCCAGGGCCTTGACATGCACTGTTGCCTCTGACTGGAACATTCTTCCACACTCTTCAACTCAGTAATGTACTATTCTTCAACCCTTCAGTTCGGAGCTGAAATTTTATTTCTCCCCAGCAGCTGTTCCCAACCTGCCAGTCTAAGTCAAGTCTATCCCTGTCATTAAGCACATACTTCAGCTACTCTTCCTTCTTAACACTTACCCCAATTTTAACGACTTATTTACTTATGAATGTCAACTTCACACCAGATTATGAGCTCTAGCGAGAGGGTGTCAATTTGCTCTACTGACTGCTATGCGTCACCATCGCTAGCTCCACACCGGGCACACTACTGACTGAGTGTACAGATGGATGGCTGTGTCTTGAAATTCTTCCTTTAGTGGTTTCCAAGCGACTGCTGAGATCTGTACCCCCAACACCACTTCACCTGTTTCATTTACTTGTTCTTATTCTTCTGTGTGTCTGTCCCAAGGTTCTGCCTCCATTCTCCTAAGAACAACCCTGGCCTATGACCTCGGAATAGTTTTTATCCTGATAACCTCAAATGTGTGACTTCTCCCTGCCCGGAGCCAGAGCTGGACCTTGGACCTCCACATCCTGCTGCCTGCGTGGTCCCTCGGCTTGGCCTGCTTCACAGGGCACTTTAGCATCCTTATCATGTTCTGCCTCCAAACTTCGATGGCTCCTTCCTCTGCACACTTATCCTCCCTCCTTCCTTCTCCCCCCAAATATCACATTGCAGGTCCGTTCTCTCTGCCGCTGTCCCACAGGAACCATTTTCATCCCAGCCTCTCACTACATATAAATCCTTACCCAGACCTCATCTTCCTTCACAACTAGCCTCTCACTGCCTCCTCACTACCACCCACTCTCAGGCCCTGGCCTGTCCTCATGCTGCCTCTCCCACCAGGAAGTCTCCTCCCATCAACCATAATTTATTAAGTACATGTTATAACTCTGGCACTGTGACCAGATATTTTATATGCACAGCGTAGGCATATAAATGTGGACCATTTCTACAGAGCTCTTGAAGGCTGCAGAGCCTATCCTCAAGGCATTGACCGCTGCACCAGAGGGACTGCCAGCTCTCTCTGTGGGGGTCATCGTGTTCTTCCAACAGAGCTCAGCTCTCCAATGGCCTCCTGCTGCCAGTCCCCATCCCTCCTGGCCTGTGCCTGGGCCATGCCCAACATCTAGAGTTGCAGGGTCCTTAACCTTCTCTCCGCTCCCTTGGGGTCAAGACCTCAGAAAGGCCTAGCACTGAGGGACTCCGAAGGCTTGCTCTCTGCCTTGCTCTAGTGTGGCTGACTGAGAAATGCAATTGCTTGTTTTGTATGGTTCCAAAAGAAGAGAAGGAAAAAAAGGCTTGGATTGCCGCTTAAAACATAATTAGCACCATATTTAACAACATTTGGATGAGAGTGCTCCCCAGCAATGCTGAGAAACCTGAAGTGCAGAGACCGAGGTCACAGGGCTGGCTTGTGCCTGGGCCTCCAGTCCTTTTTCCTTTGGCTCAGGGGTCATTCTTGTGTTTAGACTCACTAACTTCTTAAAATGGATGGGGACACCATTGTGCCACTTCAGAGAGGAGGGTGATGGAGTGGTTTCATCTGAGGCAGGTCCTCCTCAGCGCCTTCTCTCGATGCCTTTCAGTGTCCGGCGGAGCTGACAGTTCCTACGCCTCCCAGGCAGGAGGAAGCATCCCCACTTCCCACAGTGGAGCCCCTTCTGCCCAGAGGAGTCCTTGTGCTCATGGTCACTATGACCCTGCAGCCTTTATCCTTTGAACTCCGCTTTCTAAGACACTGGTAATGAAGCCAGCAGTTTACTTATTTTTAGCAGGTAAACCATTTTTCCCTTCTTCTTTCTTCTTTCTCCCTTCTCCCTTCTTCCTTCTTCTCCTTTCTTCTTCTTCTTCTTCTTCTTCTTCTTTTTTTTTTTTTTTGAGGGGCACATTGCCCAGGGACTACGGTTTCCATTTTAAAGAGTGAACTAAGATGGGTGATTGTGATAATCCACCTGCGAGCTGTTCCGCTCACACCTGGCTCTGCTCCATCCCAGGCAAAAGTCTGCTCTGGAAGCCAGGGCCTGGGGCTTGACCAGGGGAGGGAAATCCTGGACATGCAGGCTGGGGCTCGTGTTAGCAGAGCCAGTGTAGTCCAGGCTGAGCACAGGTGAGTTTATGAACTACAGTTTGCTTCCCTTCACTAGATGGGTAACCTGGAGATGCCGACATGGACCATGCTTATCATCTCCCAGTGTATTTTCTTATGCTTTCCTTCCAGATCACTTTTATCAGAATGGAAAGAGAGGTGAGCGGCACCCAGGGGCCTAACACAGCCGTCTCCTGTGAAAGGGGTGAGAGGGGCTAGGAAGAGAGAGGCTTCAGAGCCACCCTCAATCCCTCACACTCTCTGTATTTCTCTGATGTGATGGAAAGGAGCTCAATATCCAACTGAGGAGCGGTCTCAATTTAAGACTCAATACCAGCCTAGGGCTCTACTCACCCCAGCCCTCTGCTCTGGCTCCCTGAGCAGGTTTTTGCTTCTTGCTGTGCTCTGACCTCTGCCCCCTCCCCCAGCCTCACCCCCTGCAGTAATGAGCTCCCCCCTCCCCATTCTGACTTAAGGACACAGCTTCCCTACCCGCCCTCAGTAAAGCCCAGCCCCTGTGCTCGCTGGAAGTGCCTACTCACGCCAGCCTGGCCCCACAGTTTTCTCCCTCGATGTCACCGCCAGCCACGTTCTCAGTGTTGACAGACTCCGTCTCACTTGTGGGCATGCTCACTGCAAGAGTCAAAGGGATGCAGGACAAGGCATGAGGGCGGGAGGAGAAGGGGAGAGAAGAGCATTAGTGTGCAGTACCCCAGTCTCAGGAGGAGCAGCCTGCAGCACCGCTGGTGAGGGTGGGGGTGCTGCTGGGAGCAGGCTGAGGCCCTGCACTGCCCTGGCCAGGTCCAGGGTTTCCATGAGGGAGTGACATGCCTGCTGCTTATCTAGGGTAGGTCATGTTGCTGAGGACACTCTAAGCAGTGGGAATGTGGAAGGGAACCAGGCGATCGGATCATTTACTCTATAGGAGACATAGTCAAAACACTCACCATTGGACCTTTCTCCACCCTCAACTCTATACCTTCAGAGAAGCTGTGCAAGATTGTCCATTTGTATTTACTACTTGCCATAAAAAGGGGATTTTTCCGGAAAACATTTTATTTCTCTTACCTTTTCCCACCCATTCTCAGGAGCTCCATTTCCAAACATAGGGTCCTGCTTATTTGTAGAAAAGGCATCTCCACCGCCTGCATGAACTACTAGATGGATTTAGCAGAAAGCCTCCTTTCTGTTGTGCCTATGGGGTCCTGAGTCTGTTACGTCTGGGACAGTACCTGCCGCCTAGAGCCTGCGCGGACGATGCACTGAGGTGCACACTGGCACTGCAGCCCTCAGGAAGGAGCAGTCGCCATGCCAAGTTTACTGTGGCCTGACGCTCAACTGCAGGCACGCAGTCTCCCTTCAGCAGCTGGGACATTCCCACCTCCACAGGCTGCCCTGGGATATAAACCACCTACTTCCACTGGCGCTGACCTGCTGGCCATCTCCAGTCTCTCCCTGAGGTAGAGAAGGATGAGCTTTGAAACCAGCAGGAGTTGGTTTCAAATGTGCTCCTTGGAGCACATTTGATGGCTTAGAAGAAGCCATTTCTTTTATTGTTATTTTTTATTCCAAGTAAGAGTTTAATTCAAGAGATTTATTTTCTACCTTCTATTACCCTTTTAATATGACATATCAGTGAGTTCCTTATTTGTGCCAACCTTTGTTCACAGCATGGGCCCTGGTTCAGCTCTCCTTGCAGGACATACTCCTCATGTGGGGAGAAAACCACTAGCCCTCAGCAGCCAGAGAATCTGCATTAGTGAGGGTGTGGCATCAGGTGATATGGCACCATGAGACAAGCCCCCATAGGGCCACCACAGCCCAGGAAAAGACTTCTACTGGTTATATGGATTTCCCCAGTTTCTTCTCTTGTGGATGAACACAAGATGGGCAAGTGGGAAGAGACTCATTTCAAGAACACCGAAGATACAAAGAGAAAGCCCATGACTTACCATGTGTTTGACTGTCACGTCTGAGCAACCTGTCCACTTTGGGGTCATTTTCAATAAAGTTGGGTAATAAGAAATCTAGATGCCATTTTATAGACACTTGGAGCTGGATGGGACTTTAGACACTATCTAGCTCTAACTTGTCCCCTTCACCTCACAGGGCAGGAAAACGAGGTCTAAGGAAGGGACAGATGCCCAAGGTCACACAGAGTTTGGGGTGGAATTTAGATTGAAGCACAAGCGTCAGGACCCTCTGTACCATGCTCATTAGATTGTCCCCATGTTGACCAACTCCCTTTCCTACACTCTAGGACCAGATGAGGTTCTTAAAGTCAAATCAGGCTACAGGGACATCATCAGAAAGAACATGGTGAATAGCCCAAGGACAGTGTTGAATTTTACAGCACTTACACTCTCCTTGCAGCCCAAGGTCTGGGGAGCTGGGGAGCAAGACCAGACCTTAGGGATGGTTTTAGCCCTGGGAACTGGGAAGGTAAGACTTTCAGAATTCCTTAGTCCATCCACATTAATGAAGAAGTAATATAATAGAAGAGCTTTCAGTCTTTTAATCCATCTCTCTCCAGCGATTTCTGGCTGAGGTCCCTTTAATTCTTCCAACATTGTTATTTAAAGAGCTGAGTTGTGTACAGAAAGCTCTCTGACTTTCCATGACATGCTGCTCCCAGAGTGCCCCTTAGGTGTGGAGTGGTGTGATGATGGTGGTGCTGGGCATGGAAAGACAACCAAATTAGGAGTAGGCAGGCCTGGGCATTAGGAGGAACCATATTATCTTCTAAATCAAGGCACTGCCTGTACCAGTACCAAGATTACATTTACAGTGATCTTAATCTTGGCTGGCACTACCCAAAGGAAAGATTCCATCAAGGACTAGCTGCTGACTATTATGTCTGCTGACTTTATACAAAGAGATGACAAAGCAGTGGCTGTGAGTGAGACAGATTACCACCCCCTTAAAAAAACACAAACATATATACAAATATATACACACACATATAAACACACACGACCACAGCATCACAAGCCATCAAGAAAAATACCCTCCCATCCAGTCCGGTATGTAGCAACACACATTAACACACAGAGCACAGGGAACGTTACCATGGGTTTCTGTGGAGTGACTAAACCAAGCAAACTTCCCTTTCTTCTGATCAAGCAAGCCTGCTGCAGCTCCTCCTTTCACAGACAAGATGGTCATTTTCAAGAACCAGGAACAAGACATCAATAGTGAGCATGCAGTCAGCCACGGGCAAAAGAAAGAAACAAAGAACTCAGCTTTCACAAAGAACATCCATTGCATCTCCAAAAATAAACTGAAAATTGTAAAAATCAATAAACCAAAACAAATAATAACACATAATAAAATAGAACTAAAACCCCAAATCACGTGAACTAATGACACAAAACAAATGACAGACATTGGGGAGAAGGAATTACTGCAGCAGAGGCTTCAGTCTACACTGGTGTGTCTGGTTAGTGGCTCTGAGGAGAGAGCTTCCAGGGAGGGGTCACCATGCATCCCTGCTGACTTCTGTGGGAGGTGCCCTTGAACAGGCTCCAGTGTAAATGCTAAAATCAAACCATAGCATTGGTGTCCTCCTTCACCCCCACCCAACAGCCACCTGACTGGACCCGCCCCCCACCTATATTAGGTTCAAGGGCTCCATTGCCACTTACAATCAGGACACTTGCAGGTAGAAAGCAACTGTGGATCTACTTGCCCCTTTGTCCAATTCAATCATTCAATGCCATTCAGTAAAGACCTACCAAGTGCCACAGGCCTGATCACATCCCAAAGATATATGTATCAGTTTTTAATGTGTTTAAACAGCAAAGAAGTTGCTCAATTACTTGTCAATGGGTGGTCTTTTGAGGAGGTTTGTATATAAGAAAGAATTATGTGAGCTTCTCTTGGGCCTGGACTGTAGTTGCAGAGAGGGTGCTGGTGAGAGTGTGAAGACAATGATTGTTGCGAGTGGAACAGGGGGAGTTCTGTATTCTGCAATGGACTCTGAGATCTAGATATCAAATGCATTAGCAAATTCCCAAGAAAGACAGTTTTCCCAACATCTTTGATAGAACTGGCATTAACTGTGCCATGGAGGGTGCTGAGATGAGTGAGGAATGAGGCATAGTCACCGATGACTAGTGAGTTGGGAAATCCCCAACCGCTCATGGACAGAAGCAGCATCCTGATGAGGAATGGATGGGTGGCCCCATCAGTTCCAGGAAAGAGCATGAAGGGAAAGTCAATCCAAACTTTAGATGCTTCTTTATCTCATCCCCTTGCCTGAAAAGTCAGATGATGTTCAGTGAACATCCTTGAATGCTGTTTGTTAGTGAGAATATTGAAGACTGGCTCATGATAGAAAAGAGTCAGGCTTATTTTTATCTAGGTGAAGGTCCATTTTCCAAACACATATTTAAAAGACAAAACTTGAAATAAGCAGAAACGTCACAACCTGTAGCATTTTGAAAAATCCTATTTGAAAAAAGCACAGAGAGTGAGGAACTAACATGAATGACTTTTCTTCTGGAAAAGAATATATGTCTCAGTTTAGAATAACAGTCACTCAAGTGAACATCTCAGAGGGGTCTTCTATTCAGAAGGGATAAACATGAGGCTGCCAGTCACCAAATCTCTGTTCACACAGTTGTCTGGGGGTACAGGAACCCTAGCCAATGATGAAAAGCCAGGAACATTGTGACCTGTTATATGGAAGCATCATCCCATCCAACTTTTGGCTTTGGCATCAATATTGCCCTATCTTGTCCAACTTCAGAAATAACTGTTGATAATTTTCAAAACAAGAGAAAAAGCTTGGTAAAATAATTGAATTTGACCAGGTTTGGTCCTTCACGCAGGCAAAGTTGGCAAGTGATTGGAAGAGCATCTAAATCATCCCCCTTGTCCATCCAGGGTGGATCTGTGATCAAGTGTCAACCTATGAACCAGGAGGTCACGGTTTGATTCCGGGTCAGGGCATATGCCGGGGTTGCAGGCTCTATCCCCAGTGGGGACTGTGCAGGAGGCAGCCAATTAATGATTCTCTCTCATCATTGATGTTTGTATTTTTCTCTCTCTCCTTCCTCTCTGAAATCAATAAAAATATATTTAAAAATTAATCATCTGCCTCCACTAGACCTGCTATTTTAGGTGAAGTTATATCTGAAGGTTTCTTGCTGAAATGAAAATACCTCACCTGGAAGGAACAGTACAATAACATATTAGTGCCTATGATAGTTCATCCCATAAGCCTATGAAGGAATAAGATGGGCAAGGAAGCAATTATATTCCTATTATTAAGGGATTAGACAGTAGGATCATAGCTGCTTCTTGGAGGGACTTGCTACCCTAGAGAGATGGACTTGGATTCCTTCTTAGAGTTCACAAACAGTTGAAAGTTGAGATTTACAGGGAACTGGGGGGAGGGGAGTTATGGGGGGGGGGGGAAAGAGGAACAAATGTAATAATCTGAACAATAAAGATTTAATTTAAAAAAATTAAAAAAAGAATCAACCTATGAAAGCCTCAATAAGTAAAACAGAAAAAAAAGAAAGTTGAGATTTATAAATACTGGACATGAATTCTGGGTATAAGATGGACAACTTGACTCCTCCTTTGAACTGGTGGGAAATCAAGGCAGAAAGATGGCGATGAACATA